AGTCCTTAAAATGGTAAATGCTATATCCCTCTCTATGAGTTCAGCACTAAGGTTAATCACACCATTCTATTGTTAGATTGCTGTGACTGGTTGGCATACTGTGTCTCTTGCATGGTATTGCAGTGAGGTAGCACTCGAAATTCGGCATAAGGTTCGCGCTATCGCAAGGAGGCAAATACGCCGAAATACCGCCTCTAGCACACATACACACATGAATGCATACATCACACACGTGGAGGCACGTCCTTAAATGATCTCAGATGTTGATAAGACGTTAAAACATATAGATCCAAACCAATCTAAACTTGAACATGTCTGTTCAAACTATTATTATAACCCATATCGATATCAGCGTGTGATATTGGTTACATGACGGAGAAATAAAATATCCATTTCGCCTCAAGCGCTCGAGTTTCCCCAGTCATATTATCAAAAATTCAAAATAAGCAAGATTCATTACATATGTGACTCCGACGCCGTCGATGGCGCGAAACATCTTTATGGCTGTGCTATACTCTCACCTATTATCATTGTGTATTGAAAACCCTTTTTTCACCGAGTTTAATCATATTTCATGTTTTAAGAATAAAGTTTCCCCACTATTGCACCATAGCACGTATGCGTATTTATTTTTAACCACCAACTCGATGGATTTTGTTTTTCAGTAGAACAGGTGGTGTCCTCCCGGACCATACCTATTGGGATCAATGGTCGTCATGTTCAGCGAAGTGTGATGCTCCGACAGAAATTGAGAAAAAGGTTATTTGAGTTTCATGTTGAAGTTATTTATTTGATATCACATATCCATACGTTTGGTCACTCTATTTTGTGTACAACAGTTGAATGCCCGCGGCCATTTTGTTTTCAATTTGCCTCGCATGGTTCTATGCCAGACGAGATTGGCTACATAACTATTTTTTACACAGGAAAGTATATCAATTATAGGAACGCTCGAGGAGTAGTTATATAGAGATAAAAAAAGTATGTTGACCTTCCCCAGTTAGGTGACACGGTAGTCTAGTGGTATGACGACGGGCTCGTAACCGAAGGGTTACTTGTCAGAATAAATAGCAATGTTAATTTTACATCATCAGACTAAATACCAATGTTTATTTTAAATCGTCAGACTAAATACCAATGTTAATTTTAAAATGTCAGACTAAATACCAATGTTTTGATTTTAAGTCGTCAGACTAAATAGCAATGTTTTGATTTTATATCGTCAGACTAAATAGCAATGTCGATTTTAAATCGTCGGACTAAAAAGCAATGTCGATGCATTCCTATCTAGAGTCAGAAATAATCTCGTTACTGTCCTTGATTGTCACAAGATGTGTGTTTCCATTTTGTAATGATAAAAAGACAGAATAATTTCAAATCGAAGTATAACAATCAAGTACTTTTAAAACGTCCGTCTAGAGTTTGGAGGGTCAGTGGTTCGAATCCAGGTGTGGCCGTACATTTTCCTCTCCCGATACAGCTGCACTGTATAGGACGATTATAATATATTCGGTGGATGTGAAGTGACAAAACATGTAACCGATCAATCGAGAGGAATAATTACAGAAACTGTCGCTATCACACCTCCTGGGCGAGTTGGTGTGAACACGGATGGGAGGATTTTGAAATTTATTTTAAATTTATTTTAATTTCAGTAAGTATAAGGAAGAAAAGAGTATGGGAGAGGAAGAAGGAAAAGAGGTGCAAAGGGTTTAAAGAAGTGTTGTGGGGGGTAAATATATAGGGGAGTACTTTTACTGCATTATGGATATGGACACATGTCGCGGACTGTACATGTCACTGAGGTATTCAACACACAATAAATTACTTGCATATAATGAAAACTTTCAATTCCAACATCAACAGTGGTGAACATCAACCTGATGTGATTTAAAATATTAAAAGTATCATCAAACAAGACTATGACGGTTTGATTATACATATATCCATACTGACGTGTCGTGACATACAGGGGCCGTACCAGTTAAGTCCCAATATGTACCACATGTAAACATACGTGTAATCAAAATTGAGGACTTTAAACTTCAAATCGTTTCGACTGGTCAATGAAATGTTGGACACAGTCGAAAATATTATCATTATATTTAACTGACATATCAGGATTTACGTACAGAAGAAGATTTACGTTATGGTCGAGAGGAAGACTTCTGAAGCATTGTACTCTTAATTGTTAGTATTTCGGACAGAAAAGGAGGAAGTGTTCGGTAGTTTCAGCAGACTGATTACAAATACACGTGGGACTACCAACTAGGTTTCGTCTATATAAATGACTAAAAAGAAAACTTCAGTTCATCCTTAATCGTGCATGATGGATCTGGCTGAATCTACTTCTGCAGTAGTAATAATAAGGCGGAACAAGATGAATTTCAGCATTCAAGAGCTTTTTAAGATTAGTAATCGACGGGGTTGGCTTTATGTTATCGGGAAGTGCATTCTATAGGTCAATAGATGAGGGTAAGAAGGAATCCTTGTTAAGCTCGGTTCTACAGTTTATTTGGCAGTAATAATTTGCGTTTCTAGTATTGTGAGAGTGCAAGTCATAATGACGAGCAGGAAGTATGTTAGTTAGATAGGAGGGGCGCTGACTATGGAAAATTTTATGGAATTGTATGATTTTATGTTTTCTTCTTCGATTCTGGCTGCTTCGAGCTGTATATTTCCTAATAATTGACTTTGTCCAATCGTCATATTGTCCCATATTACATCACCATATTCTAAAACGGGTCGTAGAATCATTAAATACATTTTTTTTGTAAAGTCATTCTGTCAATATTGAATTTGAATTTCCTAAGAATACAAAGTTTCTCAGATGCTTTACTGTTTCTATATTGCACATGGTCGATCATCATTTGCAATGCATGTATATTTTTGTATGCATATGAATTTTAAAAGTGTTCCTCCCTTCAAAAGGTGTGACTCCACGTTTTATTAAGATTAATATAGAAAATGATATCAATTGAGTTAAATAATATGTTCCAAATAAAACAATGATTTAATGATATTGCATACTTTTTTAAGGAAGTTTTTTCTACATTACATTTTGTGTCTCAATGTTGATTATTTAATCGTTTTACAACTGTTCTCGAAGGAAGAACTTTTCAACCTGAGTTCATTCAATACCTACGAATATAAATATTCCATTCTCGGTAAATGAATGTTTTGCCTGTGAATTTCTTAATCCCCGAGGTTTTCCGTTGTCTTTATATTTAATTTCTATAGTTGCAATTACATATATGTGCCTTACGTTCATCTTTCACTTTCCTCATGAACTAATTTATTCCAATTAAAAAAACTAGTATGGTTTTGATACCAAATGTCTAAATGAACTCCAATTAAATTACTATCAAACTCAGCAGGAGAGTAGTTCAGATAGAACAGAAGCTTATACAATTGTTATGTATTCGTTTTGTTGAGGTTCCCTACATCGATATAGGAACTACATTTTATAAGTTGTTGAGATATTTTACATTTCGTTCTGTTACCCTCCTTAAACGTTTTTTTTTTAAACCTTTCGATGCTAAGATGGTTAAGAAAAAAATATCCTGATTAAGCATCACGATTTCGTCCTGATCGGACACATTACCAATTATTTAAATAAGTGCATGCTTCTTCGTATTTCTGGTGATAATTTAACGTCACAATGCAGGTGACTCTGCTGGTGTCTATCAGTTTACGGAGTTGGCTGTAACCTTGTACCTGGAAGGCAAGGTTGACATAAAATACTAGTTTAAGACTTATTTATCAAAAAGTAGTTCGTTCGTAATTGTATGAAGGTGTCATAAGTACCTTTAAGTAGCTGTATATTTATATGTTTAGGATCAATTCAAATGTATATGATGCTTTTATCTTTTGACCTTAAATAGTATTGAGGAGTCCTCCCTAAATGAAATGGCCATTTGATGCAGCAAAACACTATTTTCTACTTTGATATATACAAATTTCAAACAGATATTCTTTTCTAACGATCATTTTACTTACAGCAACTCAAAGTAGTTAAAATGTTAAGATTTTACATATTAAGAACTTGTCCATGTTATCTTAATTTCAGGACGATAACATATCGGTCTAGCGAAAAAAATGACATACGTGGGATGCATTCCACATATACATCTAAGATCAATTTACTTCATTATTCTTTGAATACACGAAGCTGACTTTGAGGACCGTCTGTTAACTCAACAACGATGTCATCATCACAGACCCATATCGAATCAATCAATTGTACGTATGTACACAAAGCTTATTTCTGAAATATCAGAAATTGTATGACAGAATAACTGATATTTAACATCGTGACTGAACAGCTGTATGATGCAGTGCTGTTCATTTGTTGGCACACTATCTTTTTTTCCAAATTTAAAAAAAAAGCATCACATGTATGTGTGTGTGTGTTACGTTCATCTTTGCACTTGTGTAAAGTATTGATATTCACTCCCACTCGTTTAATATGTGTTGTATTCAAAATCAACTATTAATTATTCTCTGCATATTTATGACGCACCTTTTCAAGTCTGTTTGCCATATTTATTATCCCGCCAGTCATGGTCTATCTTTAACGTCATACTTCCGAAGTTAATTATTTGAAGTACACTTACGAATATTTCGGAAACTTGGAAAGGGTTCTTGATTTTCAATGTAGTTCTTCACGACAATTAAGCGATCATGGGACATATACGCATTATTCTGGCTAAATCACTGACGAGTCTCAAGCAGACAAAATTTGCCATATGGTACAGTAAAATGTCAATCTGCTATGGCTATCTGCATCTACGAACGAATTGTCTTATATCCGTTCTTCCATTCACCGTATTTCTAGTTATTTTGTCGAATGCATGGTAAAACACGTCTTTATATAATGAAATCAATTTTGTTACATACATCTCACAATGCGTATGTCTGATCAACTCTTCACAAATCGAAAAACTAGAATCAGTTCTATATAGTGAAACCCGGAGTCACTCGCCAGTTTTCCTCTATCATTACCTGCACGATTGATTGGCTGGTGATTGTACCGAGACAGCCAACCGTTCATCACGTCATTCCCCATTACAGCGGTAGATGAAACAGGCCTAAGCAACAGGTGAGTACTTTTGGGTGGGTCAGTGGGCATAGACTGGTCAAGATAGTTTAAATATACGAAACTCTTCAATAACAGATCAATTTCAGTCTTACATGTTCGGAGCTGTAATCTCAGGTGTGTAAAAGCTCCTGGTACAGGTGTAAATGGCTGTTATTTTCAATATGTGGATAAACGCTTCTTTCACACGGGTGGCCGAGTTCCAGGTGAAGGAATACGTTGTCCTATACCTTGGCCGGGTGTGTAGGTCGATATCACTAAAACTAGCCTCAAGAATTCGTTCACTAAACAAGGAAGTCATTCCAAAGTTAAAATTCTTGTAAATCTTATACAAAAAGACGAAGTGGTTTTGAAAATGATGTTTTGAAAAATGGACAATGGGTTTGATGTATTTGTTAGATGTTTTGACTAAATGACAATGAGTTTGATGTATTTGTTAAGAGATGTTTTGACTAAATGACAATGGGTTTGATGTATTTGTTAAGGAGAAGCACTTCCTGTCTTCGTTTACAAAGGATTTTAAAACTGATGCTTTCAAGTCTATGAATAATGCCTGGAGTATCTTAAACAAATTGCATGAAACTAAACTTGTGTCTTTTGCAGTGGATATTTGTACGAGGGGATATGTAAAATATGGGTATATATAATTCTAAACGTTGTCTTGAAATTATTAACCATGCTTGATATCTGTATCAAGCCATACATGGTTTAAATGAAGAAGTTTTGTTTTTCATAAGATACACAATATGTTGTCTGGCTCGTTCATGTAGTGATCAAAATATTGAACAAAATGTCTGCTACACCCTTTAAAGGGACATCACGTGAAAAGGCGTTTTTTTTTAATGAATGTATGTATTGTATGCACTTCCACTTATGTTACCTCGCTATCACCATATTCATAGTCCGTTCCAAATGTCCAGTTTGACCATTTTAATTGTTCGGGAAAGCCCTGCTAAAAATAGCGCCGATAACGTCACCTGACTAGGCAGTAAACACAGGTGGTGCGAGCGAGATGAAACGGTTTCCAAAGGGGCCCCCAGAAAGGGGCCGTCAGGCAATTGCAACCTCTTACGGCACTATGAAAACAGATGGTACGGGGCTAAACACCTTCCCCACACCAAGGGACAAACCTTTCTGATTTTTTTTTTATATATTGCCGGGGCAGAGGGGGCCGGGTATTCATATTAGTACTAATTTAAATCTTGCATGTAAAAACAATAAAAACAAAAATAATCGTTTAATTCAGCAATATAATTAAATTATTACATTTTATTGAACCCGGTAATATTATAAATTATGTAAATCCACGGACTTATAGATAACACGTATCTGGGTGACCAAAGAATACGCCGTGGGCCATCACAACAGTTATCCCTTGGAGGGCCTCATGGCATAATTATAGAAACACAAAGTAAACTCTCTCCAATACATGCCCATTAACATATTGAACTAAGTTCATCTGTGTTCAAACTCACACAGATATACTAGTGAGCTTAATAGTTTTAGATATTTATTCATAATATAAACAGCACTAGCATTTCTGTCGATTCCATTTCAGCTTAACCGGCTATCCGGAAGAATACATGCACCGTACGAACTGCTACGGCAGTTATTTTCTCCTTTGAATACTGCCCACCTGCAATAATGATTCCGTAACGTACTCCTTGCGCTATCTTTTGACCATTTGGCAACTTTTCGTTTCGTAGCTGACACGGTACAACACTTTTCTTTCGCTTACTTCACACGGCCAGTCATTTTGTTTACAAAGAAATGGTGTGCTATGCGCATAAGCTAGTAGAGGGAATTCCCTGAACAAAACGTTGGTCAGACAGGTAGAAATACCGATGATTTTCTTAGATTTAATCATTTTTATGAATCTATTTCAGCCAAATTCGATCGTTATTTTCCATAAGGAGTCTCACGTGATATGTTTATGTAGTATTTGAAGAAAAAGACAAAAAATAAAGTTACTTCAGCGTGATGCCCCTTTAATGCAGGGAGCTGTTGTGTAGTTACGGGTGTAGTTCAATTATTCATAATGAGACAGAAATTATTCATGTTAATCTCAGATTACTCTATTCATTATCATAATGTAAAAAGAAATGGTAATTTCATAATTTACTTGCACGAATGAAATGGAGGATCCATGTGCAAGGCCTGATCCTATCTCCTCTGGTAAAGATGCGTATATTTTGTATTTTGTTTGGAATGTTGCGTCGTGTATGTAGGAGTGGCGCAAGGCCAACTGTGTTTAACAGAGCGTGATATTAGGGCTTTATACACAAGAACTCATCTGGGCGTTTATCAGTCGCTGGGTAGTTACACTATGTTAAACATATAGAAGCCTAACAGAGCCTAGACTAGAAATTCCCTCCTAAATTATAAAATATTACGTTTCGGTTTGGCGAACAGGTGGTTGGGTAAAGCATGTTAATTTGTTTACTGTGTAGCAAAAACAAGTACAGGATTTAAGTCGGTCGTCGGTCGGGTAAAAACCCCAGGAGAAAGTCTCGAATAATCGAATGGCGTTTTCTGTGAGAGTCAGAAGTATTAAATTGAGAAGCAGATATATTGTGGTCTATACATTCCTATCATCAGTATTTGTCACAATGCTAATGTCGAAATATCGGGTTGCTGTCGGTTGTAACATCACATGGTCAGTGTTGTGTTATTTATCTTGTACTTTTTCTTAAGTTCAAAAAGTATTCTAAAAATGGTTACAGGGGTCACTTTGCAGATAAAAATTGCTCCTCATTACCAGATGTTGTGATTGGTATACATGCGGTTAAAGATAGGCACGGCGTGGCGACTAGTGTCGGGCTGCATTGATCAATAGTCGCTTATCATATTCGAATAAACGCTCACTTGTACAATACTAAACAAGCTGTTGCCGGTTCTACCTGTATATCTAGCACATGTAAACAGAGCAGCTATATGAATAACTCAGTCTAGACAAACTCTCTATATCATATCACGTGATAGGTTGCTGATTTTGACTGACTTTTAATGTATGCACAATTACATGCCAATAGCTTCCTTCAGAAAATAAAGAATTGTTCAAAGAACTATCAAATAAAATGTTGAAGGACATTTTTTGTAACATTTATTGTGGTATAAACCGCAGTTGCTGACATTGTAACATTTATTGTAGTATAAACCGCAGTTGCTGACAAACTTATTGTAGGATATGCGATAAATATACATTTTCTATGTTTACGTTAACTGTTAAAATATTTGAACGTTGCCTCGACCTTCACTGGGAAAACCTACCGATACGCTATAACTATAGGGAACCGATTCGAATCCGCCTGTAGTTAAATATATCGATTGAATATTTATTTCAGAGTTAAGTACCCAATTAATGACATCAATTGGCAATGCTAACATCCAAACTATGTAATCTGTCATTTTGAATCAATATGGGGTGATTTGTCCATGATGTCATAAATATACCATATTCATATATTTGTTTTAATTATACAGAGCTGAGAGCAGAGGTTTTCCTGCTATAAAATATAATAAAATAGAATAGAATAGAATAGAATAAAATATGTGTATCTGTGTTTATCATGATGAACCGCTGCTTGAGAAATCTCAGTCGCGATAAAAGGAGCAAATATGTGAAGAAATTACTTAGATACAGTGATGCTTAGCAGAGATCCGGGCCACGGGACATACACAAACATCAATAGCCTGCCCAAGTTTGTCGTCCGCAGAACATGGATCACTGAACATTATTGTAGTGTAATAGGTAAACTGGGGCACCGCCACATGAATTACTGGAAATTGTATTACGGGGTTCGAGTATAGGTAATTTTTTACGTTAAAGGCGCATTATACATAATTTTGTTATCCATTTTCATGTACTTACATAAATGAAGAGAAATACAAAGTTATAAGCATTCCTGTAATTATATAAATATCCAATATTGGTTTTGTTAGATCCGAAGAAGTCACAATCTACCATTAATCTAAAATGTCGGTCAGCACATGACTTAAAATGCTACAAGTCAAATGTTAAAAGTGGGAATGGGTGAAAAAAAGTTCAGAACAATAAGTAAGCTGAACATGTCTTGAAGAAGAGCAATGCTATCCATTCGAGACATAAAAGAAAAGAAAAGTGAACGAGGAGTAGATGCAAATACTCTCTGGCATACTGCCAAGCCACAGGTAGTGGCGAGACTTGCCGGTAACGTGTTGTTATTGTTACTCGTTACATGTGATATCCGTCCTGGTGTGTTGTTGCACGATGTTTTTAAAAAATTCAGTGATACTTTCAAAGAAGTATAGTTTCTATGGTTAGTTATATCACGTGTCTTAATGATCGTATCACTCACCTGCTAATATACATAAACCTACAGTAACCACCGCAACATCGTAATGTCCTGCTGTCTGTGAAGCAAAAAAAAACATATTTGATTATAAATATTTCATCGTGAAAGCAACATCCATATTTTCTTTGCCAACATGTCGACTTAATTTCATGATATGCATTTGCCTTTTTATAGTACATTTCCAGTTCTTATGCATCAAATAAGGACCATTAGCTTAGGTCTGACGACACCATTTCTAGGCCTTTAACTCGCTGAACATTTCGACAACTAGGTTAGGTGTTAAACTATAGTTTTGCTTGGACTTTAAATAAGTATCTTTATGGAATGCAGAAAATTTATGACGATACATAAAAGGGAAATTTATGACTTTATAGTTAATTTGTAACATCATTTTCTTACCTGGCCTCAATTGCAAAAATATATTCAAGATATGGAAAATATCGATTATAACGCTTGATGTATTACATTAAGGTAATGCCTTACATATGCATACAATGTAGCTATTATAAACACTGGGTCCATTCTGTATAAAGTTAAAATTGTAGTAAACATCAGTTTAACCTAAACAATCATAACTATTGTTGAGGGCTTATGTAAACTGCATTCTGTATTCCTGAAATGGAAATAACATTTAGTTACCTACCTATAAAACAGGACTTTTTAAAAAGT